GTGAGCACACTCCTACCAGCGGACAGGGAGCGCGCATTGGAAAATATGTCGCGTCAATCCCCCAACCCCAACAAAGCTGTAAACCTAGGGGAAACACTGATTTATCTGTAGGGATTTGTGTCTTGGATTAAGTGTTTACAATAATATTAAAATCAAAGATTTATAGCTTAAACAAATATGCATATTCTCTTAAAATCAGTTGTATGGAGGTGTGCGAGATTGTGAGTGTTTTCGCTCCACCTGAACTGGCCAGTGCCCATGGTGTCTCCGGTGAACAGGCTGTTACGAGCGTCTCGCAGATTCTCTCTCAGTTTCTTGTCAAGTTTCTGAGGGGGAAAAAAAAAAAAAGTTAAATCAACATTACTAATATTCCAGTAGAAACGAGTTGTACAATATGTATAAAATACATTAATCCAATAAACTGAGCGACCGGTGTTCATTTGGTTTTATATTACAGTGAAACATTCCTTTGCTGAAACTAATCATCTAAAAGCTCGGCATTGAAAGCGAGCCAAGTTTGGACCGAATCCCACATACGGAACAAAGAGGAATTTTGTACCACCAGTGAAACTGAATTAAACTACAGTATCAGTTTGCATATTGTGCAGACTATGAACTGTACAAATGCACCATAATGCAGATTAGTGTAGGAGCTGAGGTGATAATCAAATGACCAAAGCCATTCTATAATACTCTATTCTAGAATTCATAAACCGCTTTTTACCGAACAGAAGACAAAGGTGTCTCAGACTGGTCATAAAGCAAGTATCAGAGGAACATTAAAAAACAGAGCAGTGAGTCTCTTACCACGGCTACCATTTCGGCAGCATTCCCTCTTGGACATCGGATTATTGGGACAGCACCTATGATAACAGGAAAGCTCACTGTACTGCCAATAGGAGGGTGCATTAAATATCTGCTCACAAGCTCCCAAGACACACAAAATCCCATTTCAAAAACAACAATACAGGCTTGATCATTGCACTTAATTTGAAGTGTGACGTTTCTGTCATATACAATTCTAGTAGTCATGTAGTAAGTAAATAGACGTAACTTAAATATTTAAAGCATTATCAAAATATTTTTGCCTTTGAGCAATATACAAAACAATATTAGGAAGGTTCTGCCACCCAGTGGCTCTTTATGACAGTTGAGATTTAAACTAATGGTTGTAATGTGAGAATTATTATTAAAAAACCTGCTCTTTAATTTTGATTAAATATCAAGTCTTCGTCAATCTATAATTTTCACAGTTACTTCATGTACCATGAAAGAACGTTGCCTTATTAGATTTTAGGTGGATTAAAAAGCGGTGAACATCTCCATGTGAGGAATGGATTGGGTCTTAGCACATTCTTGCAGTAAGTATTTTCCATTTTTGTGCTAAAGCATCTTTATAGGTTTTTTGAATGTTAAATGGCAGCTTAACATATGAACATACAGTATAAGTAAACCATTTGTTGTTTGATTCCCTTGAAGAATGTAAGCAACACTGTGAATCTGATGGGAATACCTGTTTGGTCAAACAATGGAAGACATATGGAGTGATTGGGAATCTTGTTTGAAATCATCAGTCATTAATTCTGCTATTTCATTTGGTGCTGATAGTGGCACAGAAATATTTATAAATAAATGTTTCTAACTCGTACGTCACTGCACATTACTGCTGTAAGCTTGTGTTCTGTAAGACCTTTTTAAAAAGAAATGAATACTTTTATTCAGCAAGTATGCAATAAATTGTCCAAGGTGAAAGTAAAAACATCTTACAAAAGATCTCTATTTCAAATAAACACTGCACTTTTGAAGTTTCTATTTATCAAGCAACTGTTTTCAGCATTGATAAAAATGATATATGTTTTTTGAGCACACAATAAGCATATTAGAATGATTTCTGAACTGATTTCTTCAGTGTGACACTGAAGACTGGAGTAATGGCTGTTGAAAACTAGTTTGCATTACAGGAAAAATTTACATTTTAAAATATATTAAAATTGTAATAATATTTCATAATATCACTGTATTTTTAAACAAATAAATGCAGCCTTGGTGAGCATAAGTCACTTCTTTTTAAAAACCTTTAAAAAAATCTTTTGAACAGCAGTGCATATGCATGGAAAGATTAAAACTCTGTCATTATTTACCAAGAGTGACAAAAAAGCAGAAGAGACTATCCACTATCGTGTCCATTATGGCCTCCATGTCTGTGTCCATGATATCTGGTTTATTGATTGCTGAGGGCACAGAACAGTAGCAGCATTAATAACATTCAGATTACAAATGAAACGAATACTTCAAGCCATTCTAGCAGCTTACCGTGGTAGGAGATGTGTTCTTTGTTTTGGTTGCAGAGAATGAACATATCATCTTCAAGTGTGATGAAGTTCAGATACTGATCAAACACCTGAGGAGGAACAGAACAGTCTAATATTTGAACTGTATAATAAATACGAGCAGTACGTTATTTGCCTTCCTTCAGGAATTCACAGAGCTTGTCTGTTTTGCAAAAACACAATTTTTAAATTAAAAACTAGCAAATTGAATCAAATTAATAACTAACGTTCATAATGAACAAATGTGTTTGACTTACTTTGGTCACCTGGTTTACAGCATTAGCTGCTAGAGCAGCACTTGCTATGTCCTCCAACTTGCTTCTGGAGATTGCAGAGATGAAGTTCAAATAGTAGGACTCGTATAGTTGGTTTCGGAGATCCTGTGATAGTGAAAATAACTATTAGTTTTAAAACAGTGTGATCTTCACAAACCATCATGGAACGGGACCGATGAAAAGACTGACTCAATTATTTAGTGAACATATTTACTTGACATATCCTGTCAGTGTTCTCCTCTGTGGGCATTACAAAGTAAATGGCAGGAACATCTGGAATGGGGTCGCGATCTGAGTGCAACAAGCTAGAGGAAACAAACAAAAAGCAAACAATCATTCAAATCAATCTAATCAAATCCCTTTTTTTTTTAAGAAACAAAATCTTAGAGATCCTTACAGGTGCAGAGTGATGCCCATGTCTCGTAACTCTTTCACAGACAGCAGGGGAGATATAATGTCTTGGCCAAAGCGATCGTAAATAAGAACCTAACAAGAAGAGCAAAGGGTAAATGTTTAAGCAAATTATAACTATAAAAGCATCACTGAGCCACATTAAAAAAACAACAACAACTGGGGAACCCCCTATGTGTGTGTTGAGCACCCTTACCTTCCATACCGGCTCAGCTGTTGTGTTTTTCAAAGGTGGCGCATTGAAGTTGAGCATTCGCTTCAGAGCAGCTGAGAATAGATATAAATATAATAGAAAATATAATATATATATATATATAAATATATATATATAGAAATATAATACATCAGCATTTCAAATCACTTCAATCACTACTGAAAATCATTTATTACCATAGATAGATACTAATTTACTTTATTGTGTTTCAAAAGACTTGCGTGTGTGCATAAAAAGTCATTTTATTAAAAAATGAATAAAATCAGTTGGCAGGATTTGACCAGAAAAACTTTTTTTTTTTTTTTTTAATTATGTATTTTACATAGTATAAACACACTCTTTTTAATCAACAAATCATATATTGCCCATTCATAAAGACGAATATGATTTTCTACAGTAGCAGTTGCACAGAAAGTGTCAATATCCATTAAGGACAATGTCAGCCACAGAAAAAATAAATAAATTCAGCATAAAACAGTATCCACATAACATAAGGATCATGACTGTTTTGTACCACTAAATAATAAGCATAATAGTTTTCGTTAAGTGACTTCAGCTAGCATATCAATTCATATCGTGGGTTCTTCATGACAGGTCTCTGTAATGTTGATAGCTGTATATTTCATTTAACGGTTAGCTATATGTAGTTATCAAAACCACAAGTGCTTCTTTATGTAGACAAGCAGAATAATCGTCCATGCATCTGATGTTAACCAGCTGCTAGATGAACAACACGGTTAGCATCCTCAGCTATACTGACAGGATTGAGCAGTTTCAGCTGTTATGTAGTCGGTATTATTGTATGTATTTTAAATAAAAACGTTTTAAAAACCGCGTGAAAATCATTAATGCCAGTTATATTTACAGTACCGAGTGTTTCGATATAAAATCAAACTTATGAACAAACCCGTCTGTTTTTCCCGGATGGAGGCCGCCATCTTTGCTGTTTATGCAGTGACGACTGTGAGGGTGACGTGGCAACCGGCGAAGCGCTGTCTGCGTAAAAGAACGCGCACGCGGACACAGAGTTCACTGGGGTGCACACTCTGGCTGGGCTTTTTGGTTTGGTCCTGGCAAATTTACAATAATTGATTCAAAGTTGTTGGATGGTCAACAGTTTTTGATTGTGTTTATGTCAGTGGTTCTCAATCAGGGGCCGGGGACACTAGGGGTCCTTTAGTGGATTTTTAAGGGGGTCTTAATATTATTTATATTTTAATTCTAATTTCAAATTTGTGATTTTTAGACCCATGGACATATGGACGTTTTTATGTATGACTATGAAAATGCATTGTAAAACTATTCATTATGACATTTCAAAATGATGCAAGAAGTGAAATAAACCACTTAAACTGATTTTTTTCCCCCCAAAATTAAGATTATTCCACAATTTTGTCCTTTTTACCACAACCAACCATTTTGCCCCATTTAAGTTTCTTCAGACTTGTGCAGCAGTATTAAAACTAATAACAATTTACAAATGACACTTTATGCTGCATTTATTTTGCCGATTTATATATATATATATATATATATATATATATATATATATCACATCTTTATT